AAAAAAAAAAAAAAAAAAAGAAGAAGAAAAAGAAAAGAAAGGGATGAACATATGAAAAGACTATGAAAACTCTGAAAATAATGTTAGGTTAAAAGAGTCTTGGAGGTTGATTTTTGTTTACTAGATCAAATTTTGCATTTCTATTCCTTGATAGAAAATGGATTACTGTGCTTGGTGGGGGTATTTTTAAAAAGCAAACATAAAGACATGGCTTGAGAGACTTAGTGAGTATAACTAGGCAAGAGGGAAGTGAGAAAGTGGGACAGAGATTACAACCCTTGTCTTCTGCACTGAGTACTGATGTGCAGAAGAAAGATTATTCTAGGGTAACGGAAACAGAGGGAAAAAAATGCTACGGGCACAATTTCCAAGAAAAAGGAAGAGAACAGTGTTGAGAGTTTTTCTTTGGTTTATTCCCCGTTTCAACCACGGGGCAGCAGTTTGGAATGTTCCTTGAGATGAAGAAAGACTGTTACCAGGAAGAAGAAGCTGTCAGAGCAACCAGTGAGACCTCCTGAGTGATTTTAACTTCCAGAGGGACCATGATTCTGAAACAGGGTTACCTAGAAAAATGTAGAAAACTATACTTTTCAAATAAGAGAATAACCAAATATAACAAGTCTTTTTTACTATAGTCTATCAAATTTGCTTGAATACATATTTTTTTAAAAGTTTTTAAAAAATGTCTAATTTCAAGTGTGCATTTGATGGTATAGATGACTGAATTTTTCACTTAATTTATCTAGGCTTCAGGGGCTAGTATAGACATAGGTATAAAACAGAAACTATATGAATGCTGTTGAATGAGAAAAATGTGCAAATGAATAAATGAGGAAGAGACTATGTTCTGATCTAATTCTAAGAAAACCCATAATTCTCAGTTCAAATTTAAAGAAAAAAGAGGACAATATTAAAATTTTTCTCTCGGTTTATGTTAATCTGATCCCTGAAACAGTATACAATAGAATTGACTTGAGAAAAAAAAACACACTAAAAATTGAATTATAACTTAAAGGCAGTTACTAATCCCCTGCTTTAACGCAAAGATACAAAACGACTGTATAAAACTAGCATTGTCCAATAGAAATATAATGAAAGCCACATGTAACTTAAAGTTTTCTAGTAGTCACATTAAAAAAATAAAAATAGGTTAATTTAAAAACATTTTAATCTGATCCAATATATTTATTTATTTATTTATTTATTTATTTTTTTTTTTTTTTTTTTTTTTTTTTTTTTTTTTTTTTTTTTTTTTTTTTTTTTTTTTTTTTTTTTTGAGATGGAGTTTCACTCATGTTACCCAGGCTGGAGTGCAATGGCGCGATCTCGGCTCACCGCAATCTCCGCCTCCCGGGTTCAGGCAATTCTCCTGCCTCAGCCTCCTGAGTAGCTGGGATTACAGGCACGCACCACCATGCCCAGCTAATGTTTTGTATTTTTAGTAGAGACGGGGTTTCACCATGTTGACCAGGATGGTCTCGATCTCTTGACCTCATGATCCACCCGCCTCGGCCTCCCAAAGTGCTGGGATTACAGGCTTGAGCCACCGCGCCCGGCTGATCCAATATATTTAAAATATCCTTTCAACATGCAACCAACATAAAAATTACTAATGAAATATTTTAAATTATTCTTTCCATGAAGTCTTTGAAATCAGCATGTATTTTACACTTACAACATATCTCAATATGCAGGCTAAATTTTCTACAGACATACTTGATCTATATTTGGATTTCATAAAAATTACAGTAGTATTATATACCTAAGTTGTTCCAAATATACTTTGAGACAACTATGTTTTAAAATCTAAATTAAAATTAAATAAAGTTTAACATTCAGTTCTTCAGTTGTATAAACCAAATTTTAAGTTCTAAATATCCATGCTGCTAGCAGCTACCATAATGACAGCATAGATGTAAACAATAAAAATATACTCCAATTTCTACCTTACTGCCAGTCAGGTATGTGCTTTGTTTTCTGTATACAAATAAATTTAAAGTGACCCATTCACATATACTTTCCAATGTATACTGTGACTGATGTATATTTTTGCAAAGTCCTAGTCTTTGGCAGATAGCCTGTACTGTGAAGATAACTGGGTTATATAGAGATTATATGAATCAAAGAATTTATCCTCTATTGTAGCAAGCTCTAATCCAAAGAGCCAACTGAACAGAAAATGCAAGCAAATATCACATTTCAGACGTGATATAACATCTTAATATAATAATCCCCGAAATACAGACTGACTTCCTTTTTATTTTTCCCCAAAGAAACAGAGTCTTGCTCTCTGTGGCCCATGCTGGAGTGCAGTGGCACAATCATAATTCACTGCAGCCTCGAACTCCCAAGATCAAGTGATCCTCCCACCTCAGCCTCCCAACTAGCTGAGACTACAGGTGTGTGCCACCATGCTAGTCTAATTTTATTTTTATTTTTTGGTTGAAGCAGCGTCTTCCTATGCAGCCGAGGCTAGTCTTAAACTCCTAGACTCAAGGGATCGTCCCACCTTCACCTCCCAAAAATCTTTTCTAATTTTAATATCCATAAGATGAATTTCAGTTATGAGATTTGTGAAAGATATTAAATCACAAAACAGTCTCAGCAACTTAAATGCTTTAAGTTTCTCTATTTTATATAAACATTTAAATATATAAAACAGTAAAAAATGAGAATAAGATGAAGATTAATAGTATTCAATGTATTTCTCCCTCATTAAAAAATTCCATGCTTGTTTTGTAGACTAAAATATGAGTTAAATTAAACACAATGTAAGTATCCTTACTGTTGCAGTTTTACCTCGTGTAAAGCTTTCGCCTCCTGTAAGTTTTCTATGCTGACTTTGAAACCGTAAGTATTGTTTAAAGATGGTCCATCAATCTGAGAAGTTTCTTTCTTTGGGGTATTTACTGCTGCAAATTGATTCTATAAAAGAGCATACACACACACAACCAGAAAAAGATACGTGAGCAATTATTTTTCTTTGATTACTTATTCCTGGATAAATGCTTTATGTGTTTAGTAATAAATGGTAAACTAGTATCATCTCTAAGTTCAAGAAGAAACTGTATTTTATTAACATTATTTTCATGCTAACAAAGATATCAGAACTGGATGTATGTAGAAATAAAAGCAAACCATGTTATCTCTCAGTTCAGAAGCCCCAGTGCTGAAACTAACAGTTTTGTAGGGAGTTGACATTTATACCACATGGACATTTACCTTGATCTTTCTTGGAAGTAAGACAAGCAAGCAATCAATATATTTGCAACTACTTTGGCTAAAATTTGTAAAAGATTTGAAATACTGAATTTGTATTTTACCCTAATACAACATGTGTCTGAAAGATGAATTAAATAAAACAATGTAAATAATCTTCAAAGACTGAGAAAAAAATGGAATTTTTCCATTTCTTACAAAATTATTTTTTTCTGATTTCTAAATCTATTAACTGTTATGTTCACAACACACTGATATAGTATTTTTTAATATATACATATCTTGAATTCAATAATACTGTTTTATAAATGAAAGTTTAAAAAGTATAATCTCAAAGAAATACTAAAATATATTTTATGTAGTTAATGAGATTTATGAGAAGTGGCCAATATGTAAGTGATTTCTATCACGTATTTCCAAGAATGCATGTCTAATGTATACTTCTTTCACATAATCATATAATGCTAAGTTTTGTTGTATTTTTAGTATTTGAATAAAGACATATGTGACTTTCCAGAGTTTCAGTAGTAAATAATGTTGCTTTTCTTTCCTACTTAGTAAAATAAATTTTAAAAAATCAATAAGGTTATATTTTAGAAAAAGTAATAAACCAAGAAAAAGGATATATTTTTGGTGGGATCAAAAATCACTTACTTGAGCTCTGCTGTCATTGGATTGTTCTGATTTTGCCAGTAATCAGTTAATGTATTTGTATCCTCATAATCCACATTTTGGCTATCATATTCACTTTCTCTGTAATATTTGTATTTACATATAAGAATCTTTTAGATCCCAACAACAAAAAAACTTTTAAAAAGGCAATTTTTTGTTGTCTCAAAGATATGCAAATAATGATGCAAAAATTTAAGTATCAAAAATTTTTTAATTGAGACAAGTTATCAATTATCTAACTGAAATCTAGGATTAAAACTGGATCTTCCACTGATCTTTAAAAATGTTTAGTATAGTTACCTTTGCTTGTGTTAAGAGTACTCTTCTAAGAGTGTCAGTATTACTTCCTTTCTTATTACTCAACTTCTGTGTTTTTGGTTCTGTAGAAAGAAATTTCATATTTAATATGTATATCAAAATTACCTGCTTCTGGTTTTTAAACAACCTTTTGTTGTTCCAAACACTTAGGTACCACTTGTGAGTGCTGTCCTATGAATTCCCACCAAAATTTCATAATTTAAAAATGAAACTAATTCAAACCTCTGGTTCCCACCAAAATAACATTTTAACATTTTGTATTTTAAATATGTTTAATTACTGAGTTTTATACCCCAGTCATTATCCTAGAGAATTGTTTAATCCATTTATTCACTTGTTTATCAAGTATCTATGATGAGGAGGAAAAGACATAATCTCTGACCTCATGGGGTCTAGATAGAGAATCAGACATTCCTCAAACACACTAGAAAAATAAAATTATAATTGGATTAATACAACAGAGGGGAATATAATTGGGAATTTTTATGCAGTCAAGGAGATTAGGGAAGGTTTCCTTGAGGTGAAATCTGAAGAGCATAGTAATTAACCAGGAACAGAGTGGGGATTTTTCCCTGATTACTGTACAAAAGAACTGGAAGTTACTAAGAGTAGAGAAGTTGGCTGGTGCAGGAGCCCAGGCAAGAGATGACAGCTTGGCCTAAGGTTGTGGTGGCAGAAGTACAATAAAGTAGATATATCTGGGTTACTTAGGAGATAAACAAGTGATAAGTCTTGGTTATGGACTAGAAACCACAGGGTGGGTAGTAAGGGAATCAGGTGGGTGTTAAAAATAAATTCTATGTTTCTAACTTGTATAATTGAGAGATGATGGCACTATTCATTGAAATGAGGAAAAATGAAATAAGACCAGATGCGTTTTTATGTGGGGGCATGTGTAGATGTTCATGTGTGTTGGGAAGGTGGTCGTGAATGTGTGCAGTGAGATCATGAATTCGTTTGTAAAATACTGACCTTGAAGTACCATTTAGCATTCAAGTGGAAATGTCAGATAGGTAAATGCAATATAGTGTTCTGGAGCTTAAAAGAGAGGTGTGAACTGGAAATATAAATTTGCAAGTTATCTGTAGTAATCCTGTGGACAGGAATTAGATTATTTAGAGAAAGATATAAAGAAGGCTTAAGACCAAGCCTTTATAAACTCTAACATTTAGATAATAACTAAGAATAGTGAGGAAAGTGGGAAAAAACAAAGAAGTAGGAGGAAAGCCAAGTGGAGAAGTAGCTCCAAGAAGGAAGGTAGGGTCAACAAGAAAATGGCTTAGAGGACATAAGGCGGCTCAGGAACATCTATTGGTTTTAGCTACAAGCTTATTGGGAATCTTTACAAGAGCTATTATGGTAGAATGAAAGGGGCAGAATTCAATTTAGAGTGGGTTGAGAAATTAGTAGGAGGTAAATAACTGGAGTTGTCAAATTAGACAATTCTTTTAAGAAATGTGGCTTTGAAGGAGAGGAGAAAGAGTAGAAGCTGGCTGACGTGAGGTCAAAGCAGGTTTGTTTCTGTTTTAAAAGGTGGGAGACTTGGGTATGTATAAAAGCCAATGGAAAAGTCAAATTGAGATGATAAGCCTTCTGAGAGGGCTCCTGTATTTCACCCACAAGGAAACAGGATGGAAGCAAATATAAGTAGATTTCATAGCAGAAACATTAAAAAGTTTCTATGTGATGATCTCCAAGACATGATAAAAAATATTTGCTGAGCTATACCTTCATTTAAAAAGCTCTGATTTTCACTACAGCCTAATGTTATCTTCATTTCCATTTTTGAAGGGCAAATATAGAGACTTCCTGTTATTTGTACACTTACCTATTGATAATGGGCTAAGGCCAGTTGTTTCAGGAAGCCTTTCCAGAAGTTTTCTCTGTATGATTGGTGTACTATGAAGGCAAAGTGATTCACATTTCCCAGTTCTTGCCCTGGCATTAATTGGAGATATCACTAGAGGCTCTTGAGGCTCACTGCAGGGGCTTTTTTGTATACCATCTTTTATTGGCTTTAAGTTCTCAACAGCCAATGAATGCAGCTCCTCTACTGGTGATGAGGGTCTATCATCTCCATTTAATGCTCTGGAATCTGGGGATATTGCTTGTTGCCAAGGGGGAATAGCTGGAGAATCAGGGGAGCTATAATTAATATAATAGTTATCATCATCATCTTCATCTTTTTCAGGATCACTTGCAGAGGCAACTGGTGGCAGCATCTGACTTTCACTTGCAGTTTGACTACATCCTGTGATTGGTGCTTGTAAAGCAATCTGAGAATTATCAACATCCTTGGTATGTGCTGTAGTGGGGAGTATACATGGACTTACATCCATTTTTGGAGGCACTACAGGTTTATCATCTGGGTTAACTAAAGAGCTAAAGTTCTCAGCAGATTTTACAACTCCAGTTGGCGTGGTTTTAGGCAGTTTCTTGGTACGTTCGTATTCTTCTTTGGCTTGAAGCCACACTTGAACCAGTTGTCGACTTGGGGCACATTTGCAAGGCATAATCACAATTTTTTTATCTTCAACCATTTTAGGGCTATTACTTGACCCTTTATTGACAACTCCTTGGCCACTGCGAAGGGGTGACCCTGGCCTTGGATTTTGAGTCATTGCTGAGAATGCTGTTTTCCACAGACGAAGTCCTTCCAAGGAAAAGTCTCCCTCAAACTCAGCCAGATCATTTGCAAGTCGAGTTTCTACCATGAGGAGGCGTCCACCAATCTCCCTATAAACAACATATTTTAGAACAACTGTTTTTGTTTCAAAGAGCAATTACCAAAATATTTAACTCCCCATCCTAGATATTTTTAAAGCCCCTTTTGGAGTCTTAAAATTGTCCATTTCTTTCTTCCTTGCCCCCTCTATTTTATGCAGGTACACTCTGTCTTTAGTCTCAATATGCTTTTCCTCACAGGTATATGACTACTACCTAATTTCCTTTGGAAGTTATCATTAATCTCAGAGAGAGAAGGTTTTTTTTTTGTTTTATGTTAATGCCTCATGAAACCTTCTTTCCTTCAAGGAGAAGGACACAAACTTACAGATTCCTTTCCTCTCCTAACCTTTAAGTAACTTTCCATTATTATCACATATGAATAAAAACAATAATTTATCATTCAAATACTATGTCCTTGAATATTACTCACAGCTTCTTCCTGTATTTTCTAGTATCTATAGTTTAGCGAAGCCAGTCAATTCAAATGAATCTCTGTACTCACAAATTCTCTTAAACACTAAAAAAATACCAATTAAGGTAAATTTCTCTAATTCTTTCTTCCCTTTACATGGCAGGGATTAACACTGACACAACTTAGGAGTTGGCAGAGCCCACAGGATGCATGGCTTAAATGTTACCAGTGTATGAGTATGTGGGAAATCACTAATGAAAACAGTCTGGTTTCATTTCCAACAGTTACATTAAGCGAAACTTTCTCTAATCCCTTGATACTATTTCTGCTTACTATAGCAACATAAAATAAGTCTACTTCTTCTTCTTCATGTTAACTTTATTATGAATATGAAGATAATTCATAGTTTTTTCAATCACTTCTCTTAGGGCATGATTCCCCAAATGTCGCCATCATTATCTACATAAAACTCCACTAACTGGATTCATGTTTTCTGATTTGAAGCTGAAGGAGGAGCAGCAGGGCTACCATGGTAGCCCTGTCCCCTTTATATGAAAAGACTTTAGCCCCTACTAGTTAACTCCATAACCAGCATCCAGCACTGTCCTTGCATCCACTCTCAGCAATGTGAAAATTAGAAACAGAATTACTGCTGTTGAAGAAAATGAATACACACACCATGTGACCATACCCAACTCTAATGCTAAGGACAGAGAGGTCATAATGAGGTCAAGAGTAACAAATTGGTGAGGTATGGTGAATTCAGATTTCTTGCATATTGTTAGCAGCATGGTAACTGCCACAACCCACTAGGAAAAAAAATCTCATAATATATATCAAGAGCCTTAAATTTTTCAGTAATCCTACTTCTAAGACTATAAGGAAGATCTCCAAAATACAAGAAATGCTTTAAGAAGAAAATGCTAATATTGTCTTAATATACATACTAATTAATATACATAATATCTATAGTGGCAAAATAGGAAACAACCTTTCTGTCCAATAATATATACATGATACAGTATATATGCAGCAATTAAAATATTCAAGAAACTCATTATTTGGAAAATGTTTACAATATGTTAAGTGGAAAATTTGGATATAATACAGTGACTACAGTATGATCACATTTCATAAAACAAAACAAACTAAAAACTATACTTAAAAAAAACACATCAAAATATTACAGTGGCTTTTACTAGGTGGAAAAATAGTGTGATTTTTATTTCTTCTTTTTTTATACTTCCTAAATTTTCTATATTAAATATACAGTTTCTTTTTTTTTTTTTTTTTTTTAGAGTGTTTCTCTGTCATCAGGTTGTGGTGCGGTGGCAGGATTTTGTTTCACTGCAACCTCCCAACTCCCTGGATCAAGTGTTTCTCCTGCCTCAGCCTCCTGTGTAGCTGGGATTACAGGCACGTGCCACCAAGCCCAGCTAATTTTTGTATTTTAGTAGAGATGGGGTTTTACTATGCTGGCCAAGATGGTCTGGCTCTCTTGACCTTGTAATCTGCTCACCTTGGTCTCCCAAAGTGCTGAGATTAAATGATTATTTTTTATTTTAGCTGCAGGACAAGTGTCAAAGTTGGACAATAACAACACCACAAAGGTAATGACTAAGTTTGGTAACTAAAAATAAATATACCATAATCACTACTGATAACACCAAAGTCCCCAAAATGATGGAAACTAACGTCTAAGGAACAAACTTCATATGTTCCAGCAGTGAAACAAAAAGAGTTCCATATGGGTACTAAACAAAACTATGTTGAAAAGAGGCTGGGGAGTTGACATTTCTACCCTTCACTTTAAGTCATTATAAGAAACAACTTTTACTCTACATTTCTGATCACCTTTTCTCACCCCTTTATTAAAAAAAAAATTATCGTGTGCATATAAGGCACATATTAGTATATAGTAAAATGGTTCTTATAGTGAAACAAATTAATATATCCATCATTTCACATTCCTTTCTTAAATGGATTCTTACAGGAATTATTGTGAATCTGCTGGGTAAAAGCCTGGCATTCATTGTCTTTTTTTTTTTTTTTTTTAAAGATAGTATTTTAACAGCCTTAGGTTGACAGCAAAATTGAAGGAAAGGTACAGAGGATTCCCATATACTCCTTGTGCCTCCACACATACACGGCTTCCCACATTATCACCATCCCCTACCAGAGTAGCACATGGGTTACAATCGATGAACCTATGTTGACACATCATAATTGCACAAAGTCCACAGTTTACATTTGGGTTCATTCTTGGTGTGGTACTTTCTATGGGTTTGAACAAATGTATAGTGATATTCATATTGTATCTTTTTCTTTTTCCCCCACTGGAGTCAGGAACATGGTACAGCCACAGGTCAGTGCATACATGCAGTGTGGCCTCTGCTGCTCTTCATATCTCTTTTCAAGATTTAGACTAAGGCAGGGCCTCCCTTAGCAGTTTCAGCCACCCTCTTCCGCTTCTGAATGGATAGTTGAAATGAACTGCCTTGCTCTGCAACCGGTTAAGTATATGAGATCATGGACACAGGGTCAGGAATAAGAACCATCATTCAAACTTTCTGATTGAGCATGTTACCCAATTTAGCTTTTATCAGATATGCCCTAACTTGGTGATCAAAGTGGTAAATCATAACTACTCAACTACTTATAAATAAACCAGTACTGTGGTTTCCATTTTGCTGTTTGCTGCGTGTGTGTGTGTGCACGTGTATGCACATGTTTGTCTATCAATTCCATGAAAAGATTTTTTTTTTTTGAGACAAAGTCTCATTCTATTGCCTAAGCTGGAATGCAGTGGCGTGAACATGGCTCACTGCAGCCTTGACATCCTGGGCTCAAGTGATTCACTTTCCTTAGCCTCCTAAGGAGCTGGGACCACAGGTGCATGCCACCACGTCCAGCTAATTTTTTTTTTTTTTTTTTTTTTGACATGGAGTTTTGCTCTTGTTGCCCAGGCTGGAGTGCAATGGTGCAATCTCAGCTCACTTGCAATCCCCGCCTCACTCCCACCGCCCCTGAGTTCAAGTGAGTTATTCTTCTGACTCAGTGCCCCGAGTAGCTGGGATTACAGGTACCCATCACTAAACCCAGCTAATTTTTGTATTTTTAGTAGAGACAGGGCTTCACCAGGTTGGTTGGGCTGGTCTTGAACTCCTGACCTCAGGTGATCCACCCGACTTGGCCTCCCAGTCGAGATGCTTCTTACAATGTTAGTTATTCCTTATAGGCAGTACAATAGCTAGATCCCAGTTCTGTCTCTGCCATTTTAGGTTAAGTAAACCTGGGCACTTACTTAACTGCTGTTTCCTTTCCTTTTTTCTCACAGGTCTGTTCTAAGGAATAAATGAGTTAATACATGTAAAGCACTTAAGATGTTGTTTTTCACATGATTAGTGCTCAATATTGTCAAGAACTAAAATATACACATGTACATATACATATATATATTTATATATACACACACACACACACACACACACACACACACACACACAATTTTTTCTTGGTAGCACTTAGCTAGCCTCATATCCTTAAGGATGAGGAAGNTGTTGCCCAGGCTGGAGTGCAGTGGTGATCTTGGCTCACTGCAGCCTCTGCCTCTCGGGTTCAAGTGATTCTCCTGTCTCCGCCTCCTGAGTAGTTGGGATTACAGGCACCCATCACCAAGCCCAACTAAATTTTGTATTTTTAGTAGAGATGTGGTTTTACCATGTTGGCCAGGCTGGTCTTGAACTCCTGACTTCAGGGGATCTGCCCACCTTAGCCTCGGAAAGTGCTGGGATTACAGGCATGAGCCACCACGCCCTGCCTAATTATTTTATAGAGATGAAGTCTCACTTTTTTGCCTGGGCTGACTGCAAACTCCTGGGCTCATGCAGTCCTCCCACCTTGGCCTCCCAAAGTGCTGGGATTACAGGTGCATACCACCATACCTGGCCACTTGAAAAGATTCTTAAAAGAAAGGAGAATGGAAACTAAAGTCCATTTGCACCCCTAATAACTGCATAAACTATAATAATAACAAAGCAAGATGTTGAAATCACATGAAAAGTGGTTTATAATAAAAACTTAAAATAATCTTCATTTAGAAATATATCAGAGGAATACTTAAAACATATGCTCATTTTCAAACATTTAAAAATAAAGTTCTTTTAAAATATTATAAAAGTTTAACATTTAAAAATTAAATACCATTTAAACAATGATCATTGTAATCCTTTTAAAGTATGATGACATCTTTAGAGTAAGCACCTCTAATTTTTAATGAAGACACAGTATTAAATAATAGTAGATCCAAGTCAACTTAAATAAATTTCTCTAGGTGTAACCATCCAGTTAGTGTTTGAATTTTCTTAATAAGTCTGTAATTAGAAATACTTCCTACAATGATATACTAATAAATACAGTATCACAGAAAACTAGTCATCATGTAACCAAATGCTGTATACATTATATTCTTTTTTTTTTTTTTTTCATTCCCTACAGCAGAATTGTATATATCATAATCATTCAGAGTGACCCCAGGGAAAAAATAATTCTGATTACCTGGGCTTTTCTGGTACATCAGAAGGATTACTGCAAAATGGTTCCTGGTAAATAGTCTCTGAAAGGTCATGATCCAACAAAGTTGCCATAATTTCTTCCCTACTTGGTGGGGACATAAGTGGTTTCAGAATGTGAGCAGTTCGAGGGGTGAAATTGCCATTTTTAGATTGTGAGGGAGAACTAGTAGATCTTGGTGAACTATCAGGAGTTGGTGTCAACACATCATTGTTTCTTGAAACATATAGTTCTAAATCTTCACAGGCCATGTCCACAAGTTCACCATCAGGGGAGGAGAGTATTGCACTAAAAGAGGTATTGACTGAATCAAGAGACTGTCCCATTTCTTTTCTGCTGTGACCTTGAATCCAGTCTGAATTGTTTGGCTGTGAGAGGCTAAGAAACGCTTCTTTGCTTACTGAACTCCTATTCAATCTAGATTTTTCATTTAGACAATCTTCTGCCTGCTGAACACAGAAAGAATCCATTATTGAATTAGACCGAGTTGTTAGAGGATGAAAGCTGTTTTTCCACTGGTTGTGGCGATGATTCTCATTGCTATCTATGGATGATTTCTCAAACATTTCAGGACTTAAAGTACCAGATCTAATCCATGAGGCTGAGTCTGCAGCATGATACTTGTCTTCATCACATTTCTGGCTGTCATGACTTAAAAACTCATGTTTTTCTACAGCTTGTCCTGGAAAAAGATCCTGAACAGCATCACTTAGGAACTTCTGAGGCAAATTCTGATCAGCTGGGACAAACTGACTTCCAGAATAAAAGCTACAAAATCCAGTCTGACCTATCGTGTTAATATCAAAATTATAATTATGTTCAGGAGATAAGCTATCTTCAAGTGAATAACAACTTTCAAAACCTGGATCTGAAAAAAAGACGGGACTATCATCTGATAGGGAGTTATCCAACTGGCTAGAGTTTTGGAAATTTAAAGAGTCTACTTTGAGAAGTTTGGGGATTTTTTCTTTTGGTTTTGTACTTCTGGGAGTTCGAGGTTTTCTCGGGGATGTTACCAATCGAGTCCGCTTATTTGCTTTGTTATGTTCAAGTGAACCAGAAATATTTTTATTTGATTGATGTTTATTAGATAATGGGTCTTGTGTGATATTTGCATTTTGTGCTTTCTGCTGTCTTTTTTGTAACAATTCTTTTAGAACTGCCAGTCCAGACTGTCCATCACCAAATGCTGAAGGTGCTGACACATTTTGATTTTTACACTGAGAAAGTGCTTTGGTTTGTGAAATTGCTTCTGATAATGATCTTTGTTTTACTCTTTCAGGTTTAAAATTTGACATATCTAAAATAAAGCCCCTTGGCTTTTGTTCCCATGCTATTTGTTTGACTGGACTTCTCAAGGACGTTACAAAGCAATTAGGCATTTGGCTTTCCTCTGAAGTTCCATTTCCTGGAGAACAAGTTTCACTGTGCTTTGACTGTTCTGCTATGCACACAATCTGCTGCTGACTGTCCTTGCAATGCAAAAAATTAGGGGTATATGCTTGGTCCGGCTTTGATTCTAGGGAATTGCAATATTCACTTAACTTTCCAACTGATGACAAATAGTTTTTCTGTATATTATTTGCATTATCTTCTATCTTTGGAGACATTATACCCGAAGATATCTGTGTATTCTGTGCTACCTGAGACAAATGGTTGGAAAGGTCAAATACATTTTTTTGGACTAAGGTTGATTCCTTTAAAGTAAACATAGCACTTTGATTATGAGGCCTTTGAACATTAATTTTTGAGAGTCCAGGTCCTATAGAATTACAAACAACTGATGGATGCAAACCATCTCGTGAACTGGGGAATGTCTGCAAATCTACAGGCTTCTTGCTTTCTAAGAAAGAAGAAAAGCAGCCAGATAATTTCTGTTGTGCATTAATTCCAATGGGTAGGGGAGCAGAAAGGGGGTGATCTACAGCAGAGCTCATTAGTGGCAGATCTTTCTGTTTAAAAAGTAGTTGAGAGCCTCCAGAACTACCTGCAAGTTCAGATACATTCTGGTGTTTCAGTGCAAGCTTAACTTCAGCACCAGACTGAGATTTTATTTTTTCATCCTTAAGTGTTATATGCTTTCTTGCTGTACCTTTCTCAATCGTTTTTTGTTTTGCTCTTGGTTTCTTTTTTCCATCATCTACTAGTTTATTTGTCTGATTTCGTTTGTTCCTTTTCTTAGTAACTACAGAGGGATTAACAAGCTTTGCTTTTGATTTCTTAACCTGTGCTCTTGCACGACTATTTTTTCCGATACGAGAATTAACGGTCTTACTATTATATACATTGGGACCCTTAAAAAGCATTGCCTCTTTTTCTGCAGCAGCCATGATTTCTTCAGCTCTTGGATCTGTGGGAGACCAGCAGCGAGGTGGAGAAGAATTTATGGGACTTGTGCTTCTCTCAGAAAGAAAACCTAGTTTAGACATGACATCACTATAATTCAAGTCACAATCTTCGGTTTCAGCATTGTAAGATGGTGAGGGAGGAGAAAGAATGGCATGTGATCGTTTTTTCCTAAAAGACAAAGTTCTTTTAATATTTTCATTATTTGTCCTTTGTTGCTTACCAGTTTTTTTCTTAGCAGACTTATGTTTTGACTTTCTTCTGTGACTTTTCTTTGGTGTTAGTGGATAAATGGGATATTTGGTTGCAGGGGAGTCAGGAACTTTTGGCCAAAAGTCCTTCAAAGGTGCAAGCTTTTTATATAATTCCATTTTTTCTTCTGTTAATATTACTTGTTTTTCTTTAGAGTCTATTTTTCCTAGCTTCACAAGCATATTTTTTCTCCCTCTAAATCTATTAATAATAATATACTTGATGATGACAGGGGGCAGCTTTTTAGACATTTTTCTTCGTTTTCGAGATTTGAGAGTTCCATCTAAGCTTTCACCAATTTCCATGGGATGAGGTAGGCTAATTTTTGAGTTGTGTGTTACAAAACTTGATTCACTGTCTTCAGTCTCATAATTTACCTTGCGTTTCGCTCTAAGTGTGTATTTATTTCCATATAGTCCAAAGGACTGCTCAGTTTCTAATGTTCCATCTCCAAAGTGACAGTCTATACAACCATCTGTGGGTGTTTTATTTTCAAAGCCTCCACGAGTTGTTTTAGTTAAATCACTGGCCAATGCATTATCCTTCTCAGTATTACTATTACAAAGATTATTTTGTATACAATTATCTTTTGTGGATCCACTCTCACTACTTTTGGTAGAAGTCTCCTGATGACCTGCAAGTTTCTTTTTATTCAATTTTAACCGAGATGGTTTATTGCCAGGTTGTAATTTATATGTGACAGGAGATAGTTTCTGTGGTCTAGTGAGACAGTTAGAAAGAACAACGCTGGGAAAAAACATATAGTGTGCTGCTTGCTGGCTGAGGCTTGGCTTTTCTGTTTTATGTTCTTGAAATTCTTCATATCTAATTTTAAGTTTATTTAGTCCACTTTCGTCAGTGGTGCTATTAAGAGAATGCACCATAGTTCTATTCTCCCCTGAGCATGACAGCAATTCACAATTTTCAGTAAATGATGAAGAGAATAAACTACTCAGAGCTGTGCTGTTTCCTTTTTCATTTCCTTCAGAGGATAATTTATTTTTTGAATGATTTAAGTCAGAAAAGTTGAAAGAATTTTTGCCCAATGTATTCTCATTAGGGTGACGGTGCATATGTATAAAAGGGGAATCCTTTTCGATTTTTCTAATATTTGTATATTTTCTACTTGGTACTTGTCTTGTAACAGATGGAATATCTTCTTCATAATCAAAAATACTACTTTCACATGAAGATACTGGGAGGATGTCTTTCTTACTATTCTCTTTATGAGAATTTTCTGAATGAACACCACTGCTTAAAGATCCAGGGTATTTCATAGAGTAAGTGCTTTCATTTGTAAAAGAAGTGACTGAATTATCTAGACCTTTTTCTATATTTTTGTTTGTCTGTGAAAGGTCTTCAATTAAATCTTCCTTGTTCAAAACATGGGAAGAAAGGGCACTTGTGTGTTTACACTGAAAGGTAAACTTAGCAGAAGATGAGGGTTCTAATGTAGCAGCATCTTTGTGAAAGATGGAGGGTTTGACTGATAGCTTGCTTGTTGCAATTACAGAAGAATGCGTTCTAGAATTTTCGTTGTTCAATGGATTGTCTGAAATGAGGAGAAAAGAATAATTTATTTCACTTTACTCTTAATTTTTAAGACATTTTCCCACATCAAGATATTAATACTATCGCTATGAAAAAAATTACATAAAATTAAGTTTGTATGTTTAAAATGATTATCTTAACAAAAAGGTAATCCTTATCATTAATAACTCAATCTAAATATAGTTAGTTATAATTATTAGTAATAGATTATATTACTATTCAGTGCCTTTGGAGAATAAGGGAAAAATACTGTCACTTTAAAAATGTTTGTAAAATAATATGGTTTACATTATCACTTCAAATAAACTAAGCATATTTTTTAGTTTCTTATTCTACTTACACAATAACATTACAGTTTACAAAGCTTGAAATCAGTGATCAACAAATGTTATATCCTTCTAGAAATGAGAAACAAATCATATTATCTACATTCTTTCAAAAGAAAAAGTCATGAAGAACAAAACATCACTATAGCCTTACTTAGCCAACTGTATAGAAAATATAATTACAGTTTCAAAATTGTATTTATTTATTTATTTATTTTTGGGAGACAGGGTCTTGCTCTGTTGCCCAGGCTGGAATGCCATGGAGCAATCACAGCTCACAGCAGCCTCAAACTCTTGTGCTCAAGTTATCCTCCCACCTCAGCCTCCTGAGTAGCTGGGACTACAGGCATGCACCACTATACCGAGCTAATTTTTTTTTTTTTTTTTTTTTTTTTTTTTTTTTCAGTCTCCAACTATGTCGCCCAGGCTGGTCTCAAACTCCTGAATCCAAGTCATCCTCTCGCCTTGGCCTCCCAGAGTTCTGGGATTACAGGTGTGAATCAGGGCACCTGGCCTCAAAATCAAATATATCTTAGATCCTAAATAGCCAATTTCTCACAGTAGACTTGTTTACTTACCACTATTTTCATCTGCAGTTCCATCTAACTGAGGTATAGAAAGATTGGCTAGAAGCAAACTGTTATCACTCCATTCCATTTCTTCTTCTGAAGATGAGTCATCATCTTCAGTTGAACTTCTGTGGGTACTTCTGCACAGTGATCTGGAGAATATTAAAATTCACTGGTGAGTATGATCATTAGAAAAGGCCACCTCAGATGTAAATAATGTGTCTAAGTTAACTCTATAATAATGTATCTAAGCTAACTCTAATATTGTATCTAAGTTAACTCTATAATGTATCTAAGTTACTCTATAGTAAAACAATAAAAAAATCTGAAAATTGTAAATTCTAGAAAGGCATATTTACTTTGCTTTGTTAACAAGTCTTACTATAGTAACTTAGAAAGAGTTATTGTAAATAAACTTTATAATCCTTTTCACATGAGCTAAAATACACCACAATTCCTGCATTCTGAATTGGAAGAAATAAGAACAGAGATGAGTGAAGGGGCACTAAGGTCAGGCTGAAGAGAATATACTGAAGATGAGAGACGGAAGTAGTAAAGGTGTTCAGTCAATCTGACAATAGCTAGGGTTACTGAGAAATTCAGATGGACTGTGAGTCCAGTCTCTTTAAATTTTGTCTCATATTGATATTAATTAACTTGATGCTTTCCATTTTAACTGAACGGGCAAACTTTTTTCTATTCATACCCAATTTTTTCTGTCTCTAATCTCAAAAATTTGAAATTACTATTTTATTATATTTATTACACTGGAACTGTTTTTCCATTAAGCCTCTCCAAATCACAATTCATCATAAAAATCACTCCCGTCAGATCTGAAAGAGACATCAGAGGTCTAGTCCACCTTTCTACCCAATGCAAAAACCCAATTTTTAACCAACCTGAGACACTCTCTGTTTTTACATAATCTATATAAGGGGATTGCTGTCTCACAGGGCAATCTTTCCATTGTTAATGGCTTTAATTGTTAATAGTTGTCTTGTGTGCTTGTAATACACAAAATCTTTCAACTTCCATACATGGTTCTATTTTGTTCTCTCTAGCTATACAGGGCAGGTTGATGCCATTTTCCACATGATAATCTTTAAAATATGTAAAGGCATTTCCCATTTATCTTGTAATTCGGATTAAACATTCTCTATTCAGAAGTTCTTCAAAAGTGACAGTGCTCACAGATCCTTCTAGTTTTCTTCCCCAGTATTCTTAAAATATGGTACTCAGCACAGACTATGATATCAAATATACAGAGTAGAATTAACTATATCCTTTTCCAGACACTGTGCTTCTAGTATTCAATGTCTCTCTAATATACATGTACAACATGTTTAGGTTTGTTTTCTCAAGGTTAAACTGGGCATAGTTTTCCCCAAATTGGTTCAGCCAATGAGCATATACGCATAAATTTAATCACAGGGTAACTATGCCCATTATTACAGCAGCAACAATGTTAGAGGAAAGAATTTAACATCATATCTGGAGACTTCTATAGCTGATGTATTAAGAAGAAAAATTAACTTTTGTCATTTACATGTAAACACTGAATTTATGGATTAACCTCTTTCATCTTTCAGTGATGGGTTTTGGGTTGAAAATTTAGTCCAAAAAAGTTCTAATCTAGCCTACAGAAGTTTAAGGAGAGGCATACTCAGTCTTTCCGGCTCACAGGCCTAGATTTTTCCATACACAGAGCATATAACTAAAGGGCAGACTTGAACCAATCAAGTTCACAGAGACTGACTGAGAAAACCACGGCATCAACTTAATCATTTATTTTGAGAAACAAACCAGAATACCAATGTTTGCTTCTCAGTCTTTTATTTATTTGTTTTTAGCCTTAATTCCATTAGTCTAATCAGACCCTAAAGCCATTCCCTGTCTTCAGGCTGACTCTGTACATTGTTGCTCTGATATACAACAGTTCAACTATCACAGGGCATTCTTTTTGTCAAGTTCTGAGATAGAAAGGTACTTCAATTTTACCCTGTTTATTACTTATATATATTAATACTGTGTACATAAATGGATGACTTCTAAAAGTTAGGTTTATCTTTTTAAATGCAGCAAAACTTTGTTTTGCTTGAAATATGGAGTATATGCCACATGAAAAAGAGACCACTAAAAATGAATTTTAAAACGTCAATCTAGTTCATAAGGCATTTTACATCATGAAGAATAGTAATAAGCAATTTCTGATTGAAGGACAAGGATAATGATAAAAGTAATAAAACAACTGAAATAACTAAAAAATTACCTCTTTTTGGCACAATGTTCTTCAATATTGCTGTCCCATCTCTGGGACATCACCAAACTAAGCTCCATTTCCTCTTTTTCAATCTGTGGTTCATTTTCTTCATCATCACTATTTTGGGGATATTTATTATTTCCAAAGGAGCGACATGGTGATGGCATCCTATTTCTTTCCCCCTGATATCCATCACTTTCCAAACCAGCAAGAAGATGTACCAGAGCCTCATCAGGACTACTGTCCACTATAAAACAAGTACGATAATCACCAACGAATAACTTAAATTTTCTTAATAATCCAACAATTCAGATCACTTATAATAAAATAACAACAACATAACAGATACTGGCACAGGCTGAAAGAATACAGTTGGTACAAAGGTTCAGGTGTTGATGTAGCTCTCCCATCAAAGTTGATTCCTGGACCACCTGCATTACAGTAATTTAGGGACATTATTAAAATAACATTCTCAATTCCAACCCACGTCCACTGAATCAGAATTTCTAGGGTATAGCTGGGGAATGTGCTTTTTGTGTGTGTGTGTGTGTGTGTAAGATAGAGTCTTGCTTTATCACCCAGGCTGGAGTGCAGTGGTGTGATCTTGGCTCACTGTAACCTCTGCTTCCTGGGTTCAAATGATCCTCCTGCCTCAACCTCCCAAGTGGCTGGGATTATAGGCATGCACCACCATGTCCAGCTAATTTTTGTATTTTTATTAGAGATGGGGGTTTTGCCATATTGGCCAGGATGGTCTCAAACTCCTGACTCAAGTGATCCACCTGCCTCGGCCTCCCAGAGTGCTGGGATTATACTTGTGAGCCACCAGGCCCAGCTTAAACTATCAAAAAGAGATATCCCTGTTCACTGATGTTCCAAGAACAGCTCAGTTTTCCAAGGGAAGGCAGTGCCAGTAGCTGCACACTTAGTTTGGCTCTCTCCTGTGCAATTTTTAGCATTAGAGGATGGCTTTGGCTTATTGGAAAGTCCAGGGAAAGGTTTCCAAAGAACAAGGTACATGGAAGGACAGCTCATGGACTCAATTATTTTCTTTGTTAACAACTCATCAAATTATTCTCCAAATCTGTTTTCATGATATCAGAAAGGGCAAGACTGGGGAGATGGTTAACATTTCTGTCAGCTTCAACTTCATCTTTGTCAGTTATCCTGTCCTTAATCTAAAGCTCCCTTCTGGCAATTTCACAGTTGTTCTCCCATCATCTGCTCCATTTTTTCACATATAACATCTTACATTGCAGGTATAAAAAGGCCACTAGTGCAGAGATCTACTACATGACCCTCTCCATCTTGATGTGCAAAAATAATCTAGTCATTAGAACCAGCATAGGGCTCTGCTTCAGTTAGCCTTTTTTTAGTGGACAATCACCATCCTCTTTGTAAGGCCAGTTGCCTTGTCGGGAGGTTGGACACACCCACCTCTGCACCCGGCAACAGGCTCTGCACTCGGCACCTAGCTTTGCTGCATGGCTCCCCTGGAAGGCCCCGGCTGATGCAAGGCTCCTGGCCGGCTCTCCCACCGGAAAACCTGCCCAGTCTCAATCCCGCTCCCCTGGAGTCAATCAGAGCACCCAGCTGTTGCTCGTTCCTCCTACCTATAAAAACCCTACGCCCCAGGAAGTTGGTGCGACTTCCCTGGCCCCTTTCCCCGGGACCATGGAACCTCGCCTGGGAAGTGAATAAATTGGATTTTCATTTTCTTATACTGGCCTCAGTTTCCTCATTTTAAACTCAGCAATAACCCTTACACTCTTCCTCTTGCTTGTGGTTCTTTCTGCAGTGAACAAAAACATGTTGTGTGCTCCAGCCACGGCTGCCTGGGACTACACAGGGTCTTGGCCATGGGGACAGCCAGCACTGTCGGCCCCTAGTGGGGAGGCCTTGCCAGGGAAGGCTGGCAGTGGCTCCAGGAAGTCTGAGCTGCCACTCAGCGGGAGGCACTGAAGGGCTGGTTGAACACAGCCCTGGCCCACAAGCTGAGGAGGCCAGGACTGTGGCCCTAGCCACCCGTGTCCCTTCCAGTGAAATTTGTGATTACTAAGAGCCACTTATGGTGTTTTGGTAATGTACTGAACTTTGCAAAATGTTAATTCAAAATACATGCATTTTCCTTCTAAAGTAATATGGTTTCTTCCAAATCAAAGTAAAGTTAAAAAAATTATTCTTTCATAAATTTTTTTTTAAAACTATAAGCTACTTGATTTAATGCAAGGTTTCATTTTCATATTCAGTAGAGTATTTATTGAACATGCAACATTTACCTCTTCAAGTCAATGAAAAAACAGCTCTTCACAACGCATTTTCTCTGAATTATAATACTGAATATTTATGGTAGCACTGTTACTTACTGAAAACAGGTGATTCACTCAGTCTCTGGGTCAAAGGCTGAAAAGTCTGACTATTTTCCATGAGGTTCAAAATTGCTTCTTCATTAATAAGAGCTTCTTCCAGTTTGTGTCTGGTGTGACCTTAATTTGACAAAGAATAAAAAAAGTTAAAGCAAGAGCTTAAATCTAAAATTTATCATTTAGAATTTGTGTAAATTTAGAAGCATTACCATATAAACCTATTTTAAATTTCAAAATGTTAATGATGCATGCCAAATAAAAAACATAATAAAAAGCCACAGAAATATTTAGCCAGTCACATGCATTCATCAAAACACTGAATATATAAATCACCAAATATTTATAACCTCTTTAATCCTACCTAATGTGTGTAGCTATATCACTGATAAAAATCACTGCATATTAAAATACATAAAGTAAAAAGATAAACTGTCTTATTTTAATACTAAAATTCTTTATTCTCTATGATTCAAAAACAACAAATTTAAAATAAATGTTTTTCAACTCTTCTAAGAAAAAAAACTTGATGGTGCTCATTATTTGACACTTGTGTATTGGACTCTCAAATGCATAAAAAAGGAAAAGTTTGGTGTAATTCCTAATGGGGTATGTGTTGGTTTTTCATGCCTGTTTGTGAACTGTAGTTGTGGTTACCCATTTCATTGTCAGAACTGAGCAGAAATATTTTTAAGTGCTATAAAAGTACAAAGAAATGGTTAAGTAATTAAAAAGTTCATTTTACATTAATTATATATTTCTCAGAAAACTTTCAATTCATTATATGTCACAATAATTATATTTTCAAGATATCAAAAAATATTAGTCTTTCAACATGTGCGTTTTACAGAGGGTCTAATTCTTGGAGAGATTACATAATTGTAAGAACAAGATAAAATGAATCTCATATTATAACCCAGCCATGAGGAGAGAGAGAGAGAATTTAAAAAACAAACTAGTAGGGGAATAAAAAGACAATACACCAAAAAATGACAGGCAGTTACATGACAGCTAACTGGGAAATAGCGGTTTTCCTGCTTCGGGTACTTAATCAGACTTTAAGGGTTTCTAGCTTTTAAAAGAGTTAACCATTTCAGAAAGAAACACTTTTGAGGTAATATATCCTAGGACATAGCTGGGTTGAGGACTTTAATCAGAACAAATGAACAAAAAAACCAAAAAACTGAAAAATACCTTATTTTGAAACAAAAAATTGAGAGATCAATAAAATCAAGTCAGCTCTTTAAAACTAATAATAAAATAGACAATCTTCGCAGGGATGATAAAAAATTGCAGAGAAGGTATGAGTAAAGTGTATTAGGAGTAAAAGTGGGTGTGTCAAAGGTGTTAGAATAATACTGTGAACAACTTTATGCCAAAAACATGGAAAAATCAGATTAAATGGATAATTTCTTAGGAAAAAAAAATGATGTAAAAATCTGACTCAAAAAAAAAAAATAGAAAGCCTGGTTAGACCTATACCAATTATGGAAATTAAACCAGTGGTTTAAATCTACTCTCTTACCTCTCACCCTCTAACATACAAAATCCGCCCAAAAAACCAGACTCTACAATGGTTTTACAGGTGAGATATACCAAATCTTCAATAAATAAACTATTTCAATCTACAAAAATTCTTAAAAAGGGAGAATACTGAGAATTCTTAGGCAGTGCACTAAGACATGGAAAAAAATAAATGTGGAAAAAAGTAATAGTTACTTATACATGATAACTCTATATATACATTGAAAATCTGAGGGAAAATACATCTAAATTATCAGCACTAATAAAAGTTGCTATAGGTGTTTCAAATGCTGGTGGTTACCAAAAAAAAAAAAAATCAAAACTTGCTGGATACAAGATGGATAAATAAATGTCAGAGAAGTTCCTAAATGCCAGCAATTAGAAGATGTAATTTTTGAAAGCTAAACCTTATACAACTGCAACAATTATAAGACACCTGGAATATATATAACAAAAGACATACAACAATTTTCCAAAAAAGATAAAACGTTATTGAAGGACATAAAAGAAGACCAAGTAAAATGAGAAATGTGCTGTAGATGAGACAATTTGATATAGAAAGACATACATACATATACATATATGTATGTGGAAAGACATATGTTCTTAAACTAGTCTATGAATTTGTTGAATTCCTAATAATATCCCAAGGGGGTTCTTCACAGAAACAAAACAATCTAAAATTAACATGGGAGAGCTTTTTTAAAGGATTAAGAACAGACAAGACAATTACGAAGTTGAGTAAGATCTGCCCTGACAAGATCTTCTACAGCAACAATAATCAAAACTGTATGATAGTAACACAGGGGAAAGACATGGGGAAATTCAGTGTGGGGAAAAAACTCTGTGAAAAATGTGCTGGCATAACAAGCTAGCAGTCTGGATACAATTAGACATTTAATATTTAAAAAAATAAATGTGATTTGAGTGTAGCAAGATGGCCATATAGAACCGTCCAGGAATTGTCACCCCCTGCAGGAACACCAAATTGAACTATCCACACAAGAAAACACCTTCATCAGAATAAAAAGTCAGGAGAACAATCACAGTACTTGGTTTTAACAACCTGTCAAGTAAAGAGGCAGTGAAGAAGGTAGAAAGACAGTCATGAATTGCTGATAGCACCTCCCCCCAACTCCTCAGGCGGTGGCCTCTTGGCATGGAAAGAAAAATCTGTGCGCCTGAGGGAGACAGAACACAGTGAATGTGGCACTTTGTTTTGGATAGGAACTCAGTGCTACCCTGTCACAGTGGAACAACATAGAATAGAATTTAGCCAGCACCCATGAAGAGGGCATTTGACCAGCCCCAGCCAGAGGGAAATTGCCCATTCCAGTGGTCCAGAACCTGAGTTCCAGCCAGCCTCACTATCATGGGCTAAAGCAATTTGGGGTCCTAAATAAACTTGAAAAGCAGTCTAATCCACAAGGACTGCAATTCTTGGATAAGTTGCAGTGCTGTGCTGCGCTTGGAGCCAGCAGACTTGGGATACATACAACCTGGTGAGAGAGTAACTGGAGCAGCCAAGGAATTACTTGTGTCACCCAATGCACAGTCCCAGGCAGCACAACTTACAGCTGTGGGAGACCCCTTTGTTCTGCAAGAGAAAAAGGAGAGGGAAGAGTAAAGAGGAATTTATCTTGCAACCTGGATACTGGCTCAGCCACAGTAAAACAGGGTACCAAGTAGAGTCGTGATACACATATTCCAGGCCCTAACTCCTGGATGACATCTCTAAACACTCCCTGAGCCAGTAGGGAACCTTGAAGAGAAAGACTAGGGACTCAGACCTGGCAGGATTCATCACTTGCTCAGTAAAGAGCCCTTGGGCCTTGAGTATACACAAGTGACACTCAGACACTACTTCCTGCAGTCCTTGGGTGAGACCCAGGGAAATGCCGACTTCAGTTGTGACCCAGTGCATTTACAGCACTGGGAAAAATTGAAAGCCCATTCTTTAAGAATTGGAACAGCACAAGGATGCCCACTTTCATCACTGCTATTCAACATAGTACTGGAAGTCCTAACTAATCAGACAAAAGAAAGGAATGAAGGGCATCCAAATTGGAAAGGAAAAAGTCAAATTATCCTTATCTGCCAATGATATGATTTTATATTTGGAAAAACCTAAAGACTCCACCAAAAAACAAATTCAGCGAAGCCGCAGGATACAAGATCAACACACAAAAATCAGTAGCACTTCCATATGCCAATAGTGAACAATATGAACAAGAAATCAAGAAAGTAATCCCATTTACAATAGCTACAAATAAGATACCTAGGAAAAAACTTAACCAAAGAAGTGCACCATCCCTACAGTGAAAACTATAAAACTTGATGTAAGAAATTGAAGAGGACACCAAAAAATGGAAAAGACATACCATGTTCATGGATTGAAAGAATCAATACTGATAAAATGTCCACACCCACCCAGAGCAATCTACAGATTCAATGCAATCCTATTGGTATCAAAATACCAATGACATTCTTCACAGAAATAGAAAAAATTAATCCTAAACTTTATATGGAACCACAAAAGACCCTGAATAGCCAAAGCCATCCTGAGCAAAAAGAACAAAACTGAAGGTCACATTACCTGACTTCAAATTATACTACAGAGCTACAGTAACCAAAACAGCATGATACTGGCATAAAAATGGACACACAGACCAATGGAATAGAGAACTATGAAATAAATCCATAACTACAGTGAACTGGTTTTCAATGAAGGTGCCAAGAACATACCTTGAAGGAAAGAATGATCTCTTCAATAAATGGTGCTGAGAAAACACTGGCTATCACATGCAGAAGAATGAACTAGACCCTGATCTCTCACCATATACAGAAATCAAATCAAAATGAATTAATGGCTTAAATCTAAGACCTCAAACTATGAAACTACTAAAAGAAAACATTGGGGAAACTCCCTAGAATATTGGTCTAAGCAAGGATTTTTTTGTTAAATATCCCCAAAGCACAGGCAATCAAAGCAAAAACAGACAAATGGGATCACATTAAGTCATCATACAAAGCTTCTGCCCAGCAAAGGAAATGATCAACAAAGTAAAGAGATAATCCACAGAATGGGAGAAAATATCTGTGAGCTATCCATCTGACAAGGAATTAATAACCAGAATATATATATATAACTCAATAGTAAAAAATCTAATAACCTGATTTAAAAATGGGCAAAAGATCTGAACAGACATTTCTCAAAAGATGGCAAACAGGTGAAAAGGTACTCAACATCACTGATCATCAGATAAATGCAAATCAAAATTACAGTGAGAAATCATCTCACCCCAGTAAAAGTGGCTTTTATCTAAAAGACAGGCAATAATGAATGCTGGCAATGATGTGGAGGAAAGGGAACTCTTGTACACTGTTGGTAGAAATGTAAATTAGTACCACCATTATGGAGAACAGTACAGAGGTTCCTTAATAAACTAAAGATAGAACTACCATATAATCCAGCAATCCCTCTACTCAACATTTATCCAAAGGAAATGAAATTGGTATGTCAAGTTGAAGAGATATCTGCACTCCCATGTTTATTACAGTCCTATTCACAACAGCCAATATTTGGAAGCAATCTAAGTGTCCATCAATAGATATATAGATAAAGTAAATGTGGTAGATTTACACAATGGAGTACTAGTCAGCCATAAAAAGAATGAGATCATGCCATTTGCAACAACATGGATGGAACTGGAGGACATTATGTTATGTGAAATACGCCAGGCACAGAAAGACAAACTTTGCATGTTTTCACTCACTTGTGGGGGCTAATTAATAATTATAACAATTGAACTCATGGAGATAGAGAGTAGACTGATGGTTACCAGAAGCTAGGAAGGGAAGTAGGGTAGGATGGGGAAGGACAGATGGTTAATGAGTACAAAAAAATAGAATGAATAAGCTCTAGCATTTGATAGCACAATAGGGTGACTACAGTCAACAATAATTTATTGTTCATTTAAAAAGAATTAAAAGTATAACTGGAATGTTTGTAACACAAAGAAATAAATGTTTGAGGCCATGGACACCCCATTTACCCTCATGTGATTATTACACTGTACACCTGTATCAAAATCTCCCGTGTACCCCAAACTATGTACCCACAAAAGTTTTAAAAATAAAATGTAAAATTTCAGATGCATTAAAGACCTAAATGTGAAAAACCAAATTGTAAGTACATGTAAGGCTTAAAATGAATATTTAAGAGAAAATTTTTTCATTACATCAGGGTAGGGAAGGTCTCATAAATTGTACACCAAAACTAAACCATAAAGGACTACTGGCAAACTTGACATTAACATTGAAGACGTGTAAAACTCCAAGGATAACTTTTTTTTTTTAATGGGAGCAAAAATGGGAAAAATAAGTTAACATTTCTCTTTGAAGATTTTTACAAGACAAGGCTAGATGGAGAGAAAACACCTCTACAGTAAGTATAACTGATAAAACATCTAGAAAATATGAAAAACTCAGGCCAGGCACAGTGGCTCACACCTGTAATCTCAGCCCTTCGGGAGGCTGAGGTGGATGAATCATGAGATCAGGAGTTCAGAACCAGCCTGGCCAACATAGTGAAACCCCATCTCTACTAAAAATACAAAAAATTAGCTGAGCATGATGGCAGATGCCTGTAATCCTAGCTACTTGGGAGGATGAGGCCAGAGAATTGCTTGAACCTAGGAGTCAGAGGTCGCAGTGAGGCGAGATTGCGCCAACTGCACTCCAGCTGGGGTGACAGTGCGAGACTCTGTCTCAAAAATAAAAGAGAGAGACAGAAAATATGAAGAACTCCTAAAACTAAGAAAAAGACGAATGACTCAACAGAAAATGAGCAAAGAACTTGAGTAATCAATTCTCAGAGAAACTCAGATGGCCTTTTAAGATGCTCAAATTCATTAGTAATTAGAAAATTCAGATTGAAATGCAGAGACACTATTATTTGATACTATCAAATGTTGAGGCTTTGCCTACCTAGTAAAATTGCATATAGAACAATGCGACTTCTAAATAAAACTTTTATTATTGTCTTGTTTACCAATCACATATAAGCTAATTGCATTATAGAAAAACTGTTAGAACAGATGCTATTAGGTAAAGTACAATGTATATACCCTAACATTCAGCAATCACTCTTCTACATGTGTTTGGTAAAGAAACTCCAGCACATAGCCATAGGGAGACAGATAGAGCACTAAGTGCAAAAGTAAAGACAATCTAATGCTTGTAGAGAAATAGATAACACTGTTGTTTAGTTTCAAAATGGAACAATAATCAGCAGCTAAAATGAATGAAAAAGGATAAATTTGAAAGTTACAATGTTGACATAAAAGATACTCAACATCATTAGTAATGAGGATAATGAAAATTAAAGCCACAGTAAGATTCTATGTCACACACTAGGATGGCTACATTAAAAAAGACAGACAATAGTGTTAGGATGTGGAGCCACAGAAACATTCCACGCTGGTAGAAAAGTAAAACATTGCTGTCACTTTAAAACCAGCTTGGG